TGATTACAGCTTTTAAATTTTGTGCGCGAGCCATTTTTAATTTGTTGGAAAAGACACCCCCCCCTGGTTCACAAAATTTGAGTTCGAGAAATTTTTTTCATTATTTTACATTATAAGTACCCAAAGAAGCTAAATATATAAAAAACCAGATACAAATAGGTGTTTTGCAAAATTGAGAGCAATTTCAAATCTGTTCAGTTTTTTTTGATACACCCTGTAGAGTTGCCCGTGGTGTGCGTCCGCCCCCCTTTGCCTTAATTGATACCTTAGTTCAGAAAGCGGTATCAATTTCCCGTGCGCAATACAAAATGACTGAAAAACGGCAAACTTCGCAGGGTTATATTATCCGCATTTTACAACATTTCGCAACGAAACTTTGGAATATTACTAATTTTGTGATGCTCTTTCAAGCTGTGATGAAATTTTTGTCTAGACTTGTCTAGATCAAAATTTTGTTCATTAGGGAATAGGCCCATTTACTGCTGCGCACTGCACTGTCCCCTCTTGGTGAAGCTCACGAATATAGGTATACACACTGCAAAATCGTGTGTAATCTATTTAATAACTCAAGACTTATACCAAACCTTGTTTGTGTAACACAAGCTTGCATGCGCATGTATCCACTTTATATAAATGCATCACCATCTCTAGCCTGCATGGCAGGCGATCCTTAAAACACACAGGAAAATTCTTGACTGAGCCCACAATGTCATGGATTGAATGAGCAGCGACATGACCATTTTTCTGTACAATTTCTGGTCGTGGAACAGTGAATACATATTGTCTGCATGTCCATCGTGCTTTTCACGCTTAAAGGTCGAGGTGTGCGGTTTTGAACGGTCTGTGCCAATACACAAGCTGCTGCGGGGGTGGGGGGGGGGGCAGGGAGGGGGCAGTCAAAATGAAGTCGTGCAAATTATAAACGTAATTCGGGCAAAAATTGAGGGAAATAAATTTAAAAAGAAGACATATGCAATATAGTATTTGAAAACACCAGAAGTATGTATAGGTTATTTTGAGGCAACGAGGGGATATGTGATTTATTCACCGAGGCGCGCAGCGCCGAGGTGAATAAACACATATCCCCGAGGTGCC